AAATCAACCTCGTATAAATACGATATCAATGGTCTGACTGCACAACCATATTACCTAGATTGGATTACAATAGGTGTGGAGCCGCTGCGCATCTTCATAAAATTAAGACCCATTCATATCTCACAGCTATCTGTCTTCCGGACATTGTGTAACATTGATATGTGTGTACAAAAAATACCGGCGTTTTCGTTATTGTTATGGTCAATTAAAATGTTACAATTTCTTTCAAAATATATTTCAGTTTTCCAACAACACATATGGACGGGCAGACAGCACACACATCCGTTGGTTGGTAGGTCTGTTGTGGGTTTTGCTACCACCTTTTATCTGGTCTAACGAAATATTTTCCAAAAAAAAAAAAAAAAAAGAGAAAAATAAACCTTAAAATGTGTGTGTAAATCTTTGTGAAGTAATAACAAATTTCGCCCTCGCTACCAGTTTGCCATTTCCACAATCAACAAAAATTAACATCTAAATCATCATTTGGTCTGCTGTGGTGCGATGCGGTGTGGTATGTAAATTTCTATGTTAATGCAAAACATGAAAATTGTTTATTTGCTCTTTACTTCCATTTTCCCCATGTTTACTATGCAATGAGAAGAAAACGAGAAATTTACACCAGTGCTGTTTTCCATCATTGTATTTCATAGAAAATGATTTATGACCAATTCAAAACATTACGAGAAATATGAAAATTACAACAACTCAAAAACAAGAAAAAGAAATAGTTGTGATGAAAAACTATAACAAGTTCAACCACCGCTCGAAATGAATGATATATGAGATGAACCTCACAGCGATTTTCCAATGAACTGTGGATATTCGAATTTCGTATGAATATCAGCTTTAATGCATCAGCTTATCAATGATATTCACCTGTATTAATTAAGATGAATTATTGAGTGATTACTTTTCAAGCAGATTAAAAGGAATTAATGATTGGATAGTAATTGCGGTAAAAGCTTAATTAATTATTTTTGCAGCAGAATGGTCAGAACGAAATGAGGGTGATGCTACGAGGCGAAAGGAGCAACCGATTTCACCCAAACTTTTCGCATCGTTACTTTCAAACTTAAACCAAGTACCTCCCCTAAAGGGTCTGGGTCATTTTAAAAACTTTCATATGAAACTAATGGGTCTACATCTACTGGTACTTCTTCTCAGAGCCTTTAAAGAAACATATAGATAATATTAGGTTGGGGAAAAAGAAATCCATTAGGCCGGTCGTAGAAAATGTCGATAAAATCGGAAAAATGATCGAAGTTGACCGGCATATTAGAAGTCGTAACATAGCCCAGGAGCTAAAAATCGACCATAAAACTGTTTTAAAGCATTTACACAAAGTTGGATTCAAAATGATGTTCGATGTTTGGGTGCCACACCAATTCATAGAAAAATAAGTAAAAAAGTGTCAGTCGGTGTTGCGCGACAGATATGCGTTTTATATGAGGTATATGTTTAATTAAAGATGTTTTATGTTGATCAAATATATAATATTGAACCTTTTTTGAAGGATGGACCAGAGGAGAGGGCAGACGAGTCTCACTTTCAGACTTGATCTAGGTTTGGTAAAAGGAGTGGATCAATGGGTCTCATCTTCGGACTTGATCTAGACTTGGTAAAGGTAAGTTTGTGCAAAGTTTTGTTCAAATCAGGCATTCTATCAGCCTGATATTGGATTTATAAATATTGAAAACTTTGACCTTCCGTGAGGGAGGTCCCAGAAGGAGTGGACCAATGGGTCCCATCTTCCTACGTGATATAGGCTTGGTAAAGATAATAGGTTGTACAAAGTTTCGTTAAAATCGGATAGTCCGTTTGCATTTTTTAACACAATTTTGGCTATTTTGTTGGGGATGTACAAGAATGAGTGGACCGATAATCCCAATCTTCGAACTTAAACTAAGTTTGGATGAAATATTAAGATGTGCAAAGTTTGGATGAAATCGGTTATTCCATTCGAGAGCCAGACAGACGGACAACGCACGCACGGACGCAAATTGGTCAAAAGAAACATGGAGTCTAAAACTAATGTTTCGATGAGGCACATTTTCACCGTATAAAAGTGTATATACCCTCATTAGCCATAAGGCTGATAGTATAAATAGGATCGATCGAATTTCCATCTGCGAAGCCTTGGCCAAAGGAATGAGAGAGAGACCCATTTCTTAAACGATGGTGACTGCAAATGAAAAATAGATCACATACGATAACCCTGTGCGAAAACGATCATGGTCAAAGAGCGGTGAAGCACCTCAAACGGCGGCCAAACCAGGACTAACGACCAGAAGGTTGCTTCTAAATGACCAAAAGCTAAATTCTGATCTAATGGCCAGAATTGGCCAACAGGACTGGTGTCGTGTTCCACCAGGACAACGTTAGTCCGGGAGGATTGTGAAAATCGACTACAAGAGTTTTTTGCAAATAGAGAGCAGGACTTCTATGAGAGGGGGATTAAGAAGCAACAACTGATACAACAAAACGGTGCATATTTGGCCCAAATCGCACATTCCGAAACATGTTAAATAGAGTCCTATAGTTCATATAAAAATAATGGATTTCATTTCCCCAACCTAATATTTATGGTAAATCCTGAATGCACTACAATTGCCAGGCCTTAATATTTATATTAAGCGTAGATTTATTGCGTAATTGAAAATGCTTGTGTGAGCTTCTGGGGTGCATTAGTAATAAAGGCAATGCCCAAATGATAATGCACTCAGCAAGTAGTTCTAGTGATAAGTGCACAGAATAAGATACCCTAAGATTTCGATGACAGTCTAGCACTTAAGTGTATTTATATTTTTAATCAAATTTGAAGCGATATAGCATCTACTCAGTGTACTTCTCATTATTATATACTTATTGTTGATCGCGGATTGCAGAAAATTTAACATTGTTCCATTTTTATGCAGCGAATTCACCTACGAGAACATTAAGACAAGTAAGTGATTTTTGATAGCTGCACATTTTACTTTCCTGTCAAAACTACTGTATATAAAATATAAAATCAGATGATAACACTTTTTAAATGCATTTTCTTATTATTTTATAGATTGACACCCCTTCGTCATCAAAGGTCTTCTAGGCTTCGATGTAACAAGTAATCATCTAAATTGAAAATTCCTCTAGCTCTCAACAGTACACGACGGCTTCGTTATCATTAAAAACTCATTTTTATCTCCACATCATTGAATTGAAAAACTTTATTCACAATTTTTCCATCTGCCTTGCCGAAGTAAAAGTAGTTCATAAGGGTGTGGAAATGCATGGATTTGCAACTTCAATTTTTTCCGATTTTCTTTGGGCGTTGCACAAGTGTAATTTAGTGAGGCATTGCTTCATTTTTTTATTTGCAACGAGAAGAGAATGAAAGTAAACCAATATTTGTAATGAATTTGAATCCCAATCCAATAAAAAAAGAAATTAAATTTGCATTTATTGTTAATGGCGATTTGTTTGCAATTTTCCCTAAAGGCTAATTGAAAGATATTAAAGCAGATTTGTACAATGACGGATTGAAAAGTATGTTTGCTATTTGATAACTTTAAGTTTTTTGTTGGGTAAGGGAACTGATGAGGATCAGTGGCGTGATCCGAAACTATAGTCTTCCCTGCCTTACCCCTCGGCAAACAATGCCATACATTCCCCACTAATAAATAGTTGTTTTTTTTATAAAAAACAACAAACTGAGATTTAGCCTGACTTTTTTGCAGTATTATTTTTTATATGTAATCATAACTTAAAATTAATGCAATAAAATAAACAATATTTATGGGAATTCAATATGCGCAGTGAAAAGTGAGATCTTCTCGACCATTGGAAGAATTAACTGAGGTGGACTATTGTCCTAGAGGAATGAAATTAATGAAATAGTTTATTTAGCGGATCGTATCGAAAAGGAGCGAACTTTTTCAAGAACGAGATTTCCAACTCTATCAGTGGTTAGAGCTTTTACATAATCGGGATAGCACATTCTCCTGTAATCAAACAATTAGAGATGACGGTATATATTGTATACCAAGATGAGGTCAGAATAACAATCAATCGGCTGAAGAATAATAAAGCAGGAGGTGCCGATGGGTTACCAGCCGAACTATTCAATAGTCTTGTGAACGACCTACTTCAATTGAACGAGTCAGTTCACTGAACGAGTGAACCACATAGTTCAGTTTTTATTATTGTCGTTCACTGAATGATTTTGTTTACCAAACTCAGACGTTGCTCACTGAATGACTTTGCTCAATGAACGCCGTCTGTCACTGAACGAGATTGCATTTTCTTCACTGACAACTGAACGGCGTCAAAGAACAATTTCATATAAAATAACACTTGTTGTCCCATTTCATGGAACTCGGTGCTTAAAAGATCAAATGCTGCAGTAGTATTTTACGTTTACGTATAGTAACTAAGTAACCATTTGAACGATATAAACAACTGAACGAGGTGAACGACCTAGTTCACTTTTAAAAAATGATCTAGTTCGTTCGATCACTGAAATGAACGAGATTGCCCAAGACTACTATTCAAGACTGATGGTCAGATGCTGGTCAGGAGTATGAACCAGCTGATTAGTACAATTTGGAACCTCAGCATCCTGTGTCCGTGAACCAAAAAAGCCAGTGATCAATGATATTATGGGCTCGTATCAATGCGGCTTCAGACTTGGAAAATCTACTGTAGACCAGATTTCCACACTACGCCAAAACCTTGAAAAAGACCCATGAAAAATAAATCGACACATTCCATCTATTCGTTGACTACAAAGCCGCATTCGACAGTCCCATCCGCTCAGAGGTGTTCAAAGCTATGTCTGCTTTCGGCATTCCTGCGAAATTAATACGGCTATGCAGTATAACAAGACAAGGTGACAGTTTGTCGTGTGAGCTTTTTAACATCCTGCTGGAAAAGGTCACAAGAGATGCAAATGTCAAATGACACTCTGTACACCAAACAGCACAACATTAGGCTAGTAACACTACACCGATGATATCGACATAATGCGTCGAGCAAAGCTAACGGTAACAGTCACCTTTGAACGAATTGAGGAGTCTGCCAAATTGAGACCGGCAGTAAATGCCAAGAAGGCCAAGACGTCCAGTAGACTCGGACCCACAGTGGAACTTGAAAACTACAGCTTCGAGGTAGTCAACGATTGTATATACCTCAGTTCCGACGTAAACAAAACTAACAACATCAGCTTTGAAAACCGGAGAAGAATATGGTTGGCCATAACATGCTACATGGCTACGTCTCGCCAGACCAAATTTAAACTCTACAATACACCGATACTACCCGTGGTGGTGAATGGATCTGAAGCAAGCAGATGAGGCAGCTTTTGAATTATCGTCGTCGAATGAACCATGAAGTCATGTTGTGATAATGGATGAAGATGCCAAAGGTCACAAGGCATATAAAAGCGAGCCAACTGATGGTTTACGCCGAAGGGGAAGGCCACAAATCCGATGGAAATATCATGTGGAAGACAACCGCCCATGTGACATGTTCCGAGAGTTTTTGAATTCCCATACTTTTTTAAATCCCCATGTTGTTCAAAATGGTGTGCTCATTTTCGAGCGAGAGTGCGGCTCGAAAGCATAGCTGTGTTCAATATGTTACGAAATGTGTTCAATAAAAAAACATATGTTTCATTGGAATTTGCAATTTGTTTCACAACAAAATTAAGAAAAAATATGCCTGCTGGCCCTGGTTTCTACCAGAAAAAGTCTAAAGATACTGGAACGTGTTAAAATAAGCATTTATGGATATTTTGAGAGAAAGCCTGCGGTTAGCAGCAACCTTAAGATGGTGGGTTTCAGAGGGAAGTGGCAAATGCTTTAAATATAAGTGTTGATCGCACAATAATGTGTAAAATATTGTGGAGAGTAATGAAAGTCCTGGAAGACAAAGTGTGTGCAAGCTGTGGACAGCTGCAGACCAGGATCCAGCCATGATGCTTTTATTTGGCATATGAGTGCAGCTAGGCAGCATTAACAAAAGAGGAAATGGTATGCAAAATAGTTGACTTCTAGGAGACAGTGGTTACGCTTTAGAAACATTTTTGATGACGCCCATAAACAAGTGGAGATCTTGTCAACATCGATATAATAAAGTGCACACATCTGCAAGAAACATTATTAAAAGGACTATTGGAAATCTTAAAAGTAGATTTTTTATAGATTCTATTTTTATTTTGATCATGTGGTGGTTGAGTTGCCAGATTGATCTCAAAAATGTTACGCGCTGTTTTTGATAAAAAGAGTCCTTTTTTATTTTCTTTAATTTTATAGTAAAATTAAACTAACGTAAATACTGTATTTTTTAAATAAATATTGTAAAAACACGTTAAATATTACTTCAGCGTTCTTTTTCAACGTGTACGTGCTCAGAAAAACACGTACGATCTCATTTCGTTTTCAATCCACAAGGCTATATGTGCTCGAATTATATTCCCAATATTTTTTTGGGAATTCGAAATGGAGCACACCAAATTTGGGAAAATGTTTCACATTCGAGCAAACTCGAAATGCAGCACATGGGCGAACATCTCGGAATAGGGTCCTTTCAAATTAGAAGAACTGCGAACAAGACCGACGCGCCTGGAAATCATTTTTAAGCTCGGCTTATGGAATAAAATTGCCAGGTTGCCGTCTCTTGACAGCGAAAGCGATCAAACGTCTGTGCTAACGTCAGTGACAACTTTTCAAGCGAATTACAAAAAAAAAAAAAAAAAACAATCAATATGAGTTCATCTTCTAATTCAGCCGTCTTTGAACTGGATAAAACCAAACTATTTAAAAACATTACCGTCGGTCCTAAATTTGTATTAATAACAAGAATAAATAGCAAAGAAACATTAAAAAACGTTTCATCATTCCTCATTAAAAAAGTGATCGATAGTGTCTGCGGTGAAGTGGATACTTGTAAAAAACTGAGAAACGGAGAAATTCTCGTTAAAACCAAAAATGCTACTCAAGCCACTAAAATTATTCAACTTGTGTCTCTCTCTACTGATATTAGAGTTGAAGTAAAAGAACACAACCGCCTCAATTGTAGCAAAGGCGTTATTTACAACAACGACCTTCGAGGAATCCCCGAAGAAGAAATCTTGATCGAGTTAAAACAACAAAATGTTACTGAAGTGAAAAAGATTTTAAAAAAGGTCAATGATTCTCTTATTGAGACCGGACTTATTATTTTAACTTTTTCGTCAGTAAGCCCACCGGAGAGCATCAACATAGGTTACGAAAAGTCTGTGATACGACCATTTATACCCATGCCACTGCGATGCCGAAAATGCTTTCGATATGGGCATTCCACAATTGTATGCCAAAATAATAAAATCTGCATTAACTGCGGTGAAGAAGAACATTTAAACGACGATGAGGATTGTGTTAAAGCAACAAAATGCATTAACTGCGTGAAAGAGAATCGGAGTGAAAATAATCACTCCGTCCTCAATAAGAAATGTCCCGTTTTTCTAAAATTTAAAGAACTCCAAACAATAAAAACAGTAGAAAAAGTTGACCACAAAACAGCATTAGAGAAATACAAACAACGTCATCCAAACGACATCTCTTTTGCTCAAATAACTCGCAACGTCGTCAAATACGACGATACACAACATAACAAACATAACAACAACAGAACAGAGAAACACGAGGAGAACATAACCTATGAAACACCACCAACAACATCGAAGTTGAAGAAACCGACAACAGTCACTGTTCTCCCAAAAAATGCTTCTAAGGGGATGAGAAATGAGTTAAAAAATAAAATCTCTCCAGCCAAAAACAACAAAAAACTGTGCACTAAGAATGCAGATAATAATGAAACGGATAGTGATGTTTAAACAACATTATTTTTTAGTATTGAGTATAAATCTATTAGTTATTTCTCTTATATCTTGCATTTGCTCTTCCTTTTTTCTTAATATTCTCTTATGGGTTTAAAAATTTTACAATGGAATATTAAAGGTTACTGTAATAATTATATTGAATTGCAAAATTTGATAAAAATGCATAACCCAAATATAATATCGTTACAAGAAACTCATTTCAAAACCACTAGTAACCTTCCGATTCCCATTAACTACTGTTTATACCATTCGAAAAACTCTGCAATACTGATCCACAATTCCATACAACATGAATTTATTGATAGTATTGACAATATGGACACAGTTGTAGTTAAAATTAAATCAAATTACACTTTTTTACTGTACTCTACATATTTAAATCCATCAAGATCATTTAATTTGAGTGATCTTGAAAATCTTTTCTCATTATCAAATCCAGTTCTTATTACTGGAGACATGAATAGCTGGAACCCCCTTTGGGGCTCTAGAACTAGTAATTCTAGGGGAAAAATATTGGCAAAATTCATAACACAATCAAACCTAATGATATTAAATAATGGTTCACCAACTCATTTCTCCACTCATAAAACGTTTACACATATCGATGTTACATTAATCTCTGCTGTCTTATCCATACACTCAAATTGGAAAATTGAAAGCGATCTTTGTGGAAGCGACCACTTTCCAATAATTACTACCCTGTTTACTGAAAATAACATTTCGAATCAAAATCGTCTCAAACCACCTTTCAATACCAAAAGAGCCGATTGGAACCACTACAAGTATTTAACTGATAAGATAAGTCTCGAAAGGCCATACAGTGACAACATTAACAAAGAAACAGCCAACATTCAAAAAATTATCCTACAGTCTGCTAATGAGTCAATACCTCAATTCAAAGTTCATGTTAAAAAACGTGAAGTTCCCTGGTGGAATAGCAAACTAGACGACATTAAGCGTCAAAGAAACCGCCTTTTCAATATCTTTAGAAGAAATATAACAAATGACAATCTTATAAATTACCGCAAAGCTAATGCCCTCTATAAGAGAGAACTAAAACTTTCAAAAAAAAATTCAGTTGAAAAATTCACTTCTCAAATAAATAATGTAAGTCAAACATATAAGATTTGGAACAATATTCGCAGATTCTGCGGACTAAATACCAAAACTAAGATACATTGTATTTCTGATGCTAATGGTGTTAATATCTCCAATCCAGTAGAGATAGCAAATCGGTTTTGCAATTTTTGGTCGGATTCGTCAAAAGATACCAATTTCCCTTATGAATTCCAATCATATAAGCAAACTTACACACAGAATCCAAGATTTCTAGCCCCAAATAAAAATGCTAGTTCCCTTGAAAACGATATAACCATTTTCGAATTCAAAATTTCTCTCAACCAACTCAAAGGTAAAACTCCAGGTATGGATAGAATCAACTACCAAATGATTAAGAATCTTGGGGAAAAATCACAACAGCGTCTAGTCTTACTTTACAAAACCATCATTAATACTTATATTCCTCAGGTATATAAAAATAGTTTAATAATACCAATCTCTAAGCAAAATTCGAATAAAACGTCAGTCTTGACATACAGACCTATCTCTCTAAACACATGCTGTTCCAAAGTTTTGGACAAAATCATTGCTAAAAGGCTATGGTGGTTTGTCACCATTAATAAACTTCTTAGTCCTTTTCAGTTTGGGTTTAAGAAGGGTAAGTCAATTGCCGACCCGTTGATATTTTTAGATTATCATGTAAACAGTTCTTTGAAATGTAATAAACACATTTCAATAATATCCTTAGATTTTTCAAAAGCTTTTGACAAGATAGGCGTACATGTCATTCTTAATCAACTAGAAGAATGGGGAATAGGACCTAAAATGTATAATTATATTAGAAATTACATGCATAATAGAAATATAAAAGTCAAGGTCAATTCCTGTCTTTCAGAATCTAAAACACTCCACAATGGAATTCCCCAAGGATCCCCATTATCTGTGGTTTTATTTTTGATTTCCTATAACAAGCTTACACAAATCTTGGAATCTCACAAAAATATAAAATTTGTTTCTTACGCTGATGATTTCATTATAATTAAAAATTTATCTAACCAAAAAATGTCGGCTGTCAACATTGGTAATGTTTTTCCAGAAATAGAAAATTGGTGTTTGTTTTCCGGTGCTCAATTATCACTAGAAAAATGCAAACATTTACATATATGCCGTAAACGCAATTGTCATCCTGAACTTCTCTGTAACAACCACACAATTCCCTCAGTAGAAACACTGAAAATACTTGGCATTACTGTCAACAAAACATACCACTGGAATTCCCATATAGACGCTTTATGCACTTCTCTTCAAAGCAAGCTCAATATAATCAAATGTTTATCCAACAAAAAATTTCAATGTAACACATATACATTAATCTCAATAATTAATTCATTAATCGTATCTAAAATAACTTACGGAATTTTCTTGTATGGATATACAGCAAAATCAGTTCTAAACAAACTAAAAACTATATTTAATTCAGCAGTGCGAACTGCTCTTGGAGCCCACCGCACAACAAGAATTACTAACATGTTATTCGAAGCAAATCTCATGACAATTGAAAATTATAGGGATCTTAAAGCAAAGAAAATACAATTCTGGAAATATATTCTCAAGAATTTCTTAATATCCAGGAAAAATACCGAGAATTTCAATTTATTTACACCGATGGATCTAAGTCCCACAATGGTATTAGCTACAGCATTGTAGACAGCAATGAAACTATAAAGTCATCGATTTTGCCTGAATATTCGTCTGTTTTTTCTGCTGAAATAATAGCCATTTATGAGGCGATTAATTACACCAAACATCTAGGAGGTAAATTTGCTATTGTATCTGACTCATTATCAGCATTAGATTGTATTGCAAATCCTAATAATAACAATATTTATGGGTCTTTAATCAGAGATACCATAAACGATGAGAAACATATACTTGTGTGGGTGCCAGGACACTCTAACATAAAAGGAAATGAGTTCGCAGATTCTGTTGCAAAAGAAGCATTCAATTTTCCACTAATCAACACTGATAATTTAAATCTAAAAGATATCAAGAATTTTGTCAATAAAGTCTTCCACACTAAAAGTGTTTCCATTTGGAACAATTCCTCTGCCTGGTATAAATCAGTTAATAATAATAAGACCAATATTAAAACTTATCTTTATAATACAAAATTTTTGTCAAGATATGACCAAACTAAAATAATTCGTCTACGGTTGGGACATTCTAGTGCAACGCACGATTATATCATCAACAAGGACATTAAAAAAGAATGTAAATTTTGTAAATCAAACATTTTGATATGAATCACTTATTGCTTAATTGCCAATATATCAAACGACACACTGATATACTTTTTCCCAATAATAGCTTACTAAATATTTTAAACAACCTTGATGATACAAACCTTACTAAAATAATAATCTTTTTAAAAAGATGTAACCTTTACAATTCCATTTAAAACTAGTTAATTATTTCGCAATACAAAATTGTTTATATTATATCATGAACTGTTATTTTATCTAAAACCATAAATTTATATGTATGTATATAAAAATTTTAGCTTAAGGCCACAGTAGCCAGAGCTATTACTCATATTATATTTGTAATTATAATTTATAAATATAATTGTTAATAAATAAATAAAATTGCCAGGCCATGTTAGACCTCGACAGTAGCCCCTTTCCGAGCAATCAGGAAAAATGAGAAAGATTATTTTTTTCTTTGACTTCAGAGAGAAATTTAGTTTCTAAGTGGATTGTATGCGTTACAAATAATCTTCACAGTAATTTTTGCAAAACTTTTATAGAGTGACAAATTTTCATAACACTATTTATTTATCTGGTTTTTTGCTGACATAGATTTGAAATTTATTCATGGTAAAAGTTTGGCCTCGTTTATCTGAATGCCTTATTTTACTTCTTAACAGATTTTCTGAGAAAATAGTTTCATGTTTTGTAATAGCAGCCATATAAATGTCCCGACCGATCATAGTTATATTGAATGTCCACCTAATGACTTCTTATTTTAATTGTTAAAAGGAAATTCCTTTCATTTTATTACATTTTTTTTCATTTGCTAAATTATAATCAAATCGAATTGGCTGGGAACTAAAATTCTGATAATCAATATTTGCAATTATCTAAGAAAACTTTCTCCAATTTATGTTCAACAGCATTATTTGTATCTCCAGCAAAGTTCTGAGTACTCTTTGTTTTCTTTCTTTACATTTCCTTGAAACATCCAAACTTTTCTATGGATGTGTTGAAATCTAAATGACCATATAATAGGCCAACAAAATATTTTCTTTTGGCCAAATTTTCTATTTTAAAAAAGTTGCTTGGATAATTTCCTGCAAATATCGAAAGTATTTTTATTTCTACGAGTTCGTTTTTTTCTATTTTGCATTGAGAGGGTCAATTTAATTCGGAATATTTTGGTAGTTAGTTTAGGCATTCATTTTTAAATGAAGTTTTGTTTCAGCTGGAATTCTTTATTATTTTCTTTTTTTTTCACAAAAGTTCATAGACCCTATAAAAAATGGCATGTTGACAAATAAGAACAAGAAACAATAAAATGTTAAATAAAAAATATGGGTAAAATAATTATTAAAAAATTATTGTGAACAGCAAACATAATATCTTAAGTGCTTTTGTTTTAAATATTACAGCCAAGGAAAAATGTTAGTAGAAGAAAACTTTTTAGGTATGGCGTCTTTGTGTGTTAGATAATGACAACTCTGTATAAACCTCTTAGCGTGTGTATTGTGGGTCTTTGGCTTCATGTTTACAAATTAAACTTCTATTGACTTCCGTTTTAATGTTCTTTCTTATCAGCTGTTACGGCCTTGACTTATATGGCAAATAAATAAAATCTAATTTCTGACTCACCCTGTGACCTGATATAAATGAAGGTCTTCCTGTCACCATTGCAACCAT